AGCGGCCCCCTTTCGGCTTCGGGAGCCGCCGCTCGGTTCCACCGGGAGCTTTTCCGACGCTCCCCTTCCTGCAGGTTTCCCTTCCTCGCTCAGGCCTCAGCTGCGCCGTGTTTCCTCCCTCCCTCCATCCCATCCTCTATCCAACCCATCCATTCTTCCCTGCCTTCCTCCCTCCCTTCCTTCCTCCATCCCTTCTTCCCTTCCTCCATTCCTCCTTCCCTCCATTTCTTTTTTCCTCCATCCATTTCTCCCTCCCTCCCTCCCTCCATCCATCCTTCCACCCATTCTTCTATCCATGCCTGCCTCCCTGCCTGCCTCCCTGCCTGCCTCCCTGCCTGCCTCCCTGCCTGCCTCCCTGCCTGCCTCCCTGCCTGCCTCCCTGCCTCCATTGGTTTCAGAAAGAGGAAGGGGGGGAGGAGAGAGAAACAATGCTGATGAGAGTCTTTGATTGGCTGCCTCCTGCACGCCCCCTGCTGGGGATCGAGCCCGCAGCCCTGGTTGTGTCCTGACTGGGAATCGAACCAGTGATCTTCTGGTCTGTGGGGCGACCCTCAGCCACCTAGACACACTGGCCCAGCAGCTTCACCGTGTTTTCCGCCTACGGGCAGCCAACCCTGCTTGTCTCACCGAGTCCTGGTGATAGGTTCTCAGAGCCGGGAGCCTTCAGAGCAGCTTCTGCCGCAGTGCCTGGCCTGATGCCCACTGAATGTTTGTTGAATGAACAATTAGGACTCAGTGATCCTTAAACACCGAATGTCTAGCAGGCACCTCAGATGTAACCACCTCCAAAGCAGAGTGTGTCACTTGTGCGCGGACTCTTTGTACCGCTTCTGTAGATGGTCCCCAAGTTTACCAGTTGCTCAAACCGAAAACTTGGAAGTTAAATTTAATTTCTTCCTTTTTCTCATTCCACATCCAGGTTGTCAGTACATCCTGTTAGTGTTACCTTCAGTGTCTGGACGCTTGTCATCCAGACACAACCGTCGTAGGCCAGCTGCCTTTCCAGCACCTCTTTCCTGGACCACTGGAGTTGCTTTGAACGGGCACCCTTTTTCCAGTCTTATTCCCCTACCATCTGTACTCTGCCCCCAGCCATAGATCTTTTTAAAATGTGGGTCTGCTCTCACGCCCCTGTTCAGATCGCGGTGTGGATGCAGTGTTGGCAGTGTTTGCCTGTTTTTGTAGACTAGACAGCTACAGTTCTTTAAGTGATCTGTTCTCCTTGTCTTTCTTCTGGCGTGTTCTGTATAGAGATAGAGCCAAACAGAACAGACATAGAGAGAAAGGAAAAATTTGCAGTGGAACATAATGCCTGAAGTATCTTAGAAATTCTGTATGGTGACCTGTTTTGTGTTACTTACAGGAAGTGAATGTTGAGTTTGAAGCGTATGCCATCTCAGACAATGATTATGACGGAATTAAGAAATTATTGCAGCAGGTATTGTTTTTTTCCTCTTTACACATAATTTGTTCTTTTAAGAAAATCCAGGCCAGTCAACACAAGCTCTGTCAGACTTCACCCTTCCTGTTTTAGAACCCCCTTCCTGTCCTCCCCACTTAGCCTGCAAGGAAGATCTCTTCTTTCCGGAACTAAT